TCACCGTTGTTAAACCATTTACAATTTATTTTTTAAATAATGGAGATAGGTGACACATGTTTAATGTTCTCTAAAAAAAGTGGAAAAAATGTGGTTGTTGGGAATTGAAGCACGCTACACATCATTTTTTACTATGGTGTTTTAAATGGACCGTCATTAATAAATCCAGCAACTCACTGGGCTCGAAAATTTTAACCTATTACTATGGTGTATATGGATATATCGTAAACATGACGTTATTGTTTGTGTGTTTTGTAGTAGTGAAATTTGATATTTACAAAACTTAAATACATATTATCTAACTGTAAAAAACAATGTAACCAATTAACAAAAAATTTATGGTATAAAGATCTTAATTAAATCACTACTACAAAAAACACATATAACAACGGTTGCGAAAGACCTATAATAACGGTTGAATAACCATTGTTAGGTTGGACACAGTTGTAAGTAGATTATTTACAAGCACATCCTATTATCTGTGTAGTAATTTGGATAGCGCACTACATACAACTACAGTTGTATTAAAAAACCATTATTGTATGTCTTTTAATAAAATAAAAAATGAAGTAGTAGAGCAACAACAATAACAACAACAACAAGAATAACAAGAAGAAGAAGAAAAATAAGAAAAAGAAGAAGAAGAAAAAGAAGAAGAAGAAGAAGAAGAAGAAGAAAGAGGAGGAGAAGAAGAAGGAGGAGGAGGAGAAGAAGAAGAAGAAGAAGAAGAAGAAGAAGAAGAAGGAGAAGGAGAATGAGAAGGAGAAGGGGAAAGAAGAGGAGGAGGAGAAGGAGGAGGAGGATAAGAAGAAGGAGAAGGAGAAGAAGGAGGAGGAGAAGAAGGAGGAGGAGGAGAAGAAGAAGAAGAAGAAGAAAATAACAATAAAACAACAATAATAACAACAAGAACAACAAGAAAAACAACAACAACAATAACTAAAAAAAGAACAACAACAACAACAACTAACATTGTTAACTCAGATCCATACTTTCCTTGTCTCATTTAAGTTGGAGAAGAGATGATGGTGTTCTAAAATTTGTTAATGAAAGAAATGATATTTTCGAGTTTTGGTTATGGAAGAAATGATATTTTCGAGTTTGGTTTAGTGGAGAAATAAAATGTCGTAAATGAAAGATGATATCTGGAGGTAGAAAATGAAGTTCTTCCAAGGTTTAGGTTTCATGTGGATCACTAATGGTAATATCTTAAGCATTGATAGTCACTAAATGGACGACCAAGATTTATTTAAGGATGGTGAAGAAACTCAATAAACAAACTTATATTTCCCCGTGATCCTGAGTAACTTTTCACCACGGTTGGAAGTTCCAACCATTGTGAAAAATAGCCTAAAATATAAAAAAAAAACAAAATTGTAGGTGCTAGAATTCGAACCCATAACCCTGAGTGACTTTTCACCACGGTTAAAACTTTCAACTGTAGTAGTAAAGTGGATAGCGCGCTACATACAACAAGTGTTGTATTAAGCAAATATTGTTGTATGTCTTATAATAAAATATAAAAAGTGCAACAATAGAACAACAATAACAAGATTTGAACTCATGACCATGTTCTACTTTTTACCACAATTAGAACTTTCAACCGTAGTGACAAGTAGCTTAAAAATAAAAATGAAAAGAAAATGCCTAATTGAATAGATTCTATCTTTTGACCGTGATAATGTGAATGTCGTATATCTTTTTGTAGTAGTAAATTTTGTCAAATTGTAAAAAGACAGATGTGAATGTTGTATATCTTTTTGTAGTAGTAAATTTTGTCAAATTGTAAAAAGACAGTGCAATCAATTTAAAAAAATTGTGATATTGTTACAAGTGTTTCCTATACAAAAATATGGATTAAACTGGTGTAGAAAGTCGTGGTCTAATCAAGAGTCATCTATTATACAAATGTATCTTAATCAAAATCACGGTATTAATTTAGTTCAAAAATACAGCCTTTAAACATTTGGTTTTTCATTTGAGTGCAAAAGTTTAAAAATGATAACCTATAGGAATAGAAAATGACCACATATTCAACGTAGGGATAAAAATTTAGGTTACAGTTTTTTATACATCTAGCTACCGTTTTCGTTGTTTACTAAACTAGTTTTTTTTTGTAGTGTATTCATTCACGCTACACTCTTTTTTCATTCATTGTTATTTTCATATGTGGGATTTTGTTGCTAAGGTATTTAACTTGACATAGATTGTGTTTTCCCTTTGTATAATTTCACATTTTAGTCTAATTCTTTTAAATTTAATTTTTAATATTTTTTAATTGAATACCTTTAATTACAGTGTTGATAGTGGTCTTTAGATGCCAACTTAATGAAATGTTAAGTCGGTTATACATTTTCATTCTAAATTTTGCAAAAAAAGAAAGATGGTTTTGAATAAAATTATAATAAGAATAATATTTAATTAAATGATTTAAAAAATAAATATATGTTCGTTGGAAAGGTGCGGTAAAGAAAATATTTTAAATATTTTTTAAATTATAAATAATATAATAAATATATTATTTTCAAAATATATTTATATATACATTAATATTTTTATATAACTTGTATGGTCAAACTTTACATTAAAGTAGCCCAACATTTTTGTGAAATTAAAATAAAAATTAATTTATTATATTAAATAATTTGTATAGTTTTATCATCAAAATTATATATCTTTATTGTTACAACTCTATAGGTTTTTATTGAAAACACATGATTTATATAGTTTAATTCGAATAATTATTTAAATGTAAATTATTTATAAAAAAGTTACCTTTATAACCTTACAATACATGGTTTTAATTGTTTCGGTCATTTATAGAATGACTATTAATATTAATTTAATTAATTAATAAAATTTATTTTTCAAAATTTATTTTTGAAATAAATTCTTTACTTCAGCCATTCAAATTTTAAAATTAAAATGTGATTTATTCTGATACAAGATTGTGATTGATTAACGGTGTAAATTTAATTTACATACATCTTCTCTTTTCTCATAATTTTTACTTGTTATTTTCACGTTACAATATATCATTAACCATTACATTATCAACGATAATTTTATTAAAGAAATAAAATAATAAATATTTACTAATTATATTATGGAAAAAGATAAATAATTTAACATAAAATAATTTTTTATTGGTTTTTTTGATATTCTTAAATAAACTTTAAAAAAAATTGAAGAATAAAAAAATCGTCAATAAACTTTTCATAGAAAAAAGAAATATGATATAGCATACAATAAATATAAATTAAAATTAAAGTTGGATTTAATGAGGATAACTTCTTTCTACAAAATACTCCATATTATAAACAGTTGAAATTCAAAAAGTAATTCAAAATAAGGTGTTGACTGAGTTGGCAACAGGACTCTTACTAAAGAAAAAATATTTGATAGACAATCCAACTCATAAAAAAAGAATATCACATCCTCGTCTAGAGGACTAGACTCATAGAGAGTCTAAACCGTGAGATAACTTAAAACACTTATTGAAGATTAGAGACACTAATTAAGGTAGATCAGAAAAAAATAAAAGACAAAAAAACAACTAATATGAAATAAAGTGAATGGGGAGATATGGTGGAAAATCAAGAAAAAACAAAATATAATGTAAATTTAAAAAAAAAGAAGAAAAGAATTGATATACAATGATCTAAGATCACAATGTGTGTCGAACAAGTTACAAGTTTGTCATGCAGATAACCCTATATATCGAGTTTGTGTTAGGTAGTTTAAATATATCATGGTCGGATATAATTTTTTTTTTGTTATTTTGTTTAATTTTTTACACTATATAAATAATACTATTTTCATATAAATGACATGATCTCTCATACACATAATACTAATGAGAAATTATATACACTTCGAAAATAAGAGAAGTTGTAGATAGAGAACTAATTAAGGTAGATTAGCAAAAAAAATAAAAGACAAAAAAAGACAACTAATATGAAATAAAGTGAATGGGGAGATAGGGTGGAAAATCAAGCAAAAAAAAAATAAAATGTAAATTAAAAAAAAAATTGCTATACAATAACCTAAAATCATAATAATGTGTTGAACAAGTTACAAGTTTGACTTCACACGGATAACCTCAAACATCGAGTTTGTGTTACATAGTTTAAATATATTATGACCGGATGCAATTTTATTTTGCTATTTTGTTTAACTTTTTACACTATATAAATAATACTATTGACATATAAATGAAATGATCTCTCATACACATAATACTAATGAGAGACTATATACAACTCAGAAAATAAGAGAATTCGTAGATAGAGAACTAAGTTTTCAATTTTACTTTTTACTTCTTTCAAATTTGTAAGTTTTTCTTCTTGTTGTCCTATTTTATTTTGAGTTTTTTATATGTCTTTTTGTGTTTCTACTTGGTCATCAAATTTTCCTAATTGAGTATAAATGATTGTGTAAAAAAAGGTGAATGAGATTCATGCTAATTCAAATTACAAGTATTTCATTTATCAAAATAATTTTTTTGAGGGATTAATGTTGTAGTTCTTCAATTTAGTCATGAAATTCATCATTTGGATTGAATTCCCTATGGTAACATACAAATATCTGATAATGATGATTAAAATTCTTTACAATATTAAATATTGATGTTTTATTATCAAGAAAGATTGTTCAATATTTTTTTTTTCATTGCATTTGACAATTAGTAGACAAATTTGTTTTATATTTCTTTGCAGAGTTATGCAGAAATACTAGGAACATTGATACACAGTGAGAGATACTCCATTTATCCACCTAAAATCTTAAGATAATGTGTGAGTGAAATCTCTCACTTATATATGTTTAAGTCTCTATATTCCTATTCAATGTGAGACTATTTCTCCACTTACTCACATTTGTTATATTATTCCAACATGCAGATCATATATATTTGATGCCAAAATGATATAAGAAAGATAAATAATTTTTTTTTTATCATCATGACTTGATCGATCTTCCAAGCAAGAAAAAAAACACAAGTGATGTCTAAAAATATAGAAGATCACCAAGTGGAAGATTCTAAGGAAAAGGAAGAGCAAAAGAATGCTATTTTGCTGCCCCATTCAAAAGGAAATAACAATGGTAAACGACATGCTAGTGAGACTAGTGTTCTTATTCAACATCTTGGTCGTGATATATCAATTCAGTGTCTCCTTCAATTGTCAAGGTCATATTATGGATCAATTGCTGCATTAAACACGAGTTTTCGATCACTAATTCGAACTGGGGAACTTTATCAACTTAGGAGAAAAATGGGAATAATAGAACATTGGGTTTACTTCTCTTGTGAAGTTCTTGAATGGGAGGCATTTGATCCAAATTATGGTCTATGGATGCGGTTACCTAAACTGGTTTGCGATGTCTGCTTTATGTTATCTGATAAGGAGTCATTGGCTATTGGTACCGAGCTTTTAGTGTTTGGTAAGGAATTAATGGCTCCTAAAATTTATAAGTATAGTCTACTAACAAATACATGGTCAATTGGGAAAATGTTGAATACTCCCAGATACTTGTTTGCTTCTGCCAGCCTTGGAGGTATTGCCATATTAGCGGGTGGTTGTGATCTACATGGCAATATCTTAAGCTCTGCCGAGCTCTATAACTCAGACATTGGAAAATGGAAAAACCTTCCAAACATGAATAAAGCGAGAAAAATGTGTTCAGGCGTATTTATGAATGGAAAATTTTATGTCGTTGGTGGGATTGCAGCTGACAAAATAACACAACTTACATGCGGTGAGGAGTTTGATATGACGACAAATGAATGGCGTGAAATACCCGACATGTTGCCAAAACAAAATAGCGTGTTTGGGATACCTCCCTCTTCTAGTTCACCTCCTTTGATTGCTGTTGTAAAAAATGTATTGTATGTCGCTGATTATGCACAACAGGAAGTAAAGAAGTACGTTAAAGGAAATAATTCTTGGATTACTATTGGAGGATTTCCCGAACACGCCTATTCAATGAATGGTTGGGGACTAGCCTTTCTTGCATGTGGAGATCAGCTAGTATTTCTTGGAGGTCCTAGTCTTCATGGTGGAGGCGTATTGGAAGTTAATGCTTGGGTGCCCGACGACAACGGACCACGGTGGAACCGGCTCGCCACAAAGGAATCAAGGAGTTTTGTTCGCAATTGCACTGTGATGGGATGTTGATGTTGCTTAGTTTTACTTTTGTAATATTGAATTTATGTTATTGTCGTTGGTGTTTTAATTTCAATTTTCTATTGCTGGTGGTGGAAAAATATGTAACTAGTTGTAATAATGGATTGTTGAAGATTTTTATCTGGTTAAATGTTTGATATAAAACCTAATAAGCTTTTTATAAAAAATGTTACAAGAAGAAGGATTAGTATTTTAATCTTTTAAGACTCAATGTATAATTAAAAAACTTAATGAAGTTGAGAACTTTAAGACTTATTTTAGTTTTATGTAAAAATTACTGGGATATCCGTGCATTTGTACAGTATTGGTACGGTACGTATTTGTTTCTAAAATATAATAAAAAATAAAATAATTTTTTTAAAAGAAATAATAAATTGGTGTTTATAATGATTTTAATATATAAAAATATTTAAATCAATAATATATATTTTTATATATAAATATTATTTTTGTTATAAAATTATTGTCTAAAATATTTAAACCAATAGTAAAATTGTTATATTATTATTCAATATTTTGATTGATAACTTAATGTTTCCGTTAATATTCAATAGTTTGATCAATAATTTCGTGTTCTTTTCAATATTCAATATTTTGATTAGTAACTACATGTTACCGTTAATATTCAATAGTTTGATCAATAATGTCATATTCCTGTTAATATTCAATATTTTAATTAGTAAATTCACGTTTCCGTTATTATTCAATATTTTGATCAGTAATTTCATGTTTCCGTTAATATTTAATATTTTGATCAGTAATTAAATATTTTCATTAATATTCAATAGTTTGATCAATAACTTAATATTTCCGTTAATATTCAATATTTTGATAAGTAACTTTATACTTTCGTTAATATTCATTTTTTATCAGTAACTTCATGTTTTCATAAATATTCAATATTTAGATCATATTATTAAAAGAAAGGCATATTTTTAAAATAAAAATAAATTTATTTTACCAAAATTATTTTACATCAATAATATATATTTCAATTTTCCATATATTATATGTTACTATGATTTTGTATCTTGAATTATAAATAATTTTAAAATAAAAATATTAGACACATAAATAATTAAAAAACAAAATATAATATTTTTATTGTGTTTGAATTAATACATTATTTTTAATTTTCTTTTCTTTAATTTGTATAAAAAATATAATAACTTATACGTTTGCACGGATTTTAATATTGTAATTTGTGTATGATACTGGTGTGTTACTCGTACAGACACATGATACTTGTTCTTGTTATTATTTAATATTTAAATTAATAGTTTAATATCAGTACCATATACGCGTATCATATCAATACCAGTGTTTTAAAAATAATAAATAAATTAAATTTATTTTAAAATACAGTAGTATAAAATCACATAAAATCACTAACATGTCGGATTTGTGTTACTATCATTTTTAACTGACATGATTATAAGTTACTTGTATAAATATAATTAAAATATTTAACTAAATCAAAAGTGCAATTAAATAAATATGTAACTCTATAAACATTTTGTGAAAAGGTTTGCCATATAGCTAGCATTCCTTGTGCTACTTTTAGTGTTTTGGTTTTAATATAACTCCTTTGTCTCTTACACAAAAAAAAAACATATGAGTTAACAATTATTTTTTTAACTTCTAGAGCCTTAATCACATATTTGGGCACATATTGATTTTGGATTCACAGTAACTATAGAGATATTTTGAATCAAATGTACCTTTTGTAATTACAACTTACAAACCAAGCATAATATATTTACTACCACATGATACAATAACATAACATCTCAGCTCAAAGATCAAGCTCAGGTAGATACTCCTTTCCGTTTATTTTTAAGTGTCGTTTTAGAAGAATTTTTTTATTTCTATTTAAGTGTCGTTTTTATAGTTTAATGTTATTATTTGTCAATTATATCCCTATTTTATCAATAACTCCACTTCACATTTTTCATAAAATTAATTATTTTCTCAATTAGTTATTGGAAAAAGAAAGATAGTATATGATTGAATTTATTTGAAAAGAGAAAATAATTGAGGGTATAATAGGAAAAATAACTCTAATAATCCACTATCTTGGTTGAAGAGCTTTATGCTAAAATGACACTTAAAAAAAGAGAGAGAGTAATAATTAATGCCATATACTTCTTAATCTACTAGAAGAACTAGTGATAGAAAAAGGATCAGCAATAAAAACAGAATTCAAGAACTTAACAGCTCTATATTTGTTCCATCATTGCATAAGAAGTTCTCAATCTAAATATAAAAAAATAAAGATAAGTTAAATAAAAGTAACACCATTCTTTTACAAGTTTTTTTGTTAAAATATGTTGATTATGCAAAGACTAAAATTGTTTCCCGTAATTACTTATAAAATACAAACTAATACCAGGCCTTATTTCACTAAATACTACAAACAAATATATCATGCCTTGATCTCTTTAAACAATATTCATTTGGCAATTGCAGTGTTAAAATTAAAAAGACAATAACTTAATGATATGAGAGCAAAAAAACAACCAGATTTATTACAATTGGAAATATGTTTAAAGGAAATTGCAAAACCGAAAACAATGACAGTGAGGTGAATGCTCTTGGAGGTGTTAATTCACCACCGAGTAAAGTAAACATTCCAAAGAAAGTTAGTGTCACAAGAACTGGGACGTTGTTCTAGATACAATATGTAAACACTCTCAATTATAAAATTGTGTCTAGTTTCGTATTCATACAGCATATTGAAGCTGAGCTTTGCGGAACCATGTCGAATGCTTTGAAATCTAGATTGAAAGCTAGTTTACCATGTATAACATCCGAATCATATTTAGCATATCACAAATAATGTTAAGACATAATCTGTACTTGAATGTTGAGAATGGAGATATTTTAATGTGCTAGCAGCAATATCAATCCAACATCAAGACTAATTAGACGCCATTGCGAAAATCTGCACAATTTATTTTAGAATAGACAAATTAGCATTGGAAGTTTAAAAACTTAAAGCACAAAAGTAATAGTCAGTAAGTAAATGAAGTAACTTCACTTATTAAGTAATAAGAATAGTCGGTAAGTTGAAACAAAAAGGAATTTGACATTGGAGATTTGATCAATTAAATTGAAAAAGTCACTTCACTATCCTAATTATGTTGTAAGTGTGACTATAACATGTTTGGCTTCTATAGCCTTTGGAACCCTTCCAAATCTAGGATGATCAACAACAGTCAATCCATGCTTTTCAGATTTCTTCTTCATGAATAATTTCACTTTATTTACCTTGGCTCGAGCATACGCGGAATATGTATCATTCTTTTCATAAACATGACATTCTCGGGATCAAGATTATCAAACCACACCCTCTTCAACGCTACAATCTTCTGATTAGTTACGTCACGAGCCTTATAAACCGTACTATAAGTTCCTTGTCCAATCTACATGACAGAATAACATAAAAATTTCTTAGTTAAATCAACAGACTACTGTCATATCTTTGATCATAAAGAACATCATAGAGTTTTTACCAAAAACAGAAAAGAACAATTATACAAATTTGACGACATCAATGGGTTCATATGAAAAGAACTACATGAATGACCAAACAGAGTACATAGAAAACTGCTTCATTTCAGATGGTTACATACTTTAACTCAGTACATAAGAACATAATATTAATAAAATAGTAATTATTTGAACGATAAAAGACACGTAATACCCAATATAAGAAATTCTAGACCTTTTTTTAAACTATCAGCATCATGTGCAGCACGATCAACTTCCAGCATCAGGCTTATGTGAGATAAATCTCGAATATTTGATTAACTAAAAAAGTTTGTTCAAAGAGTAAAAATATTAGTACCAGAATAAATAAACTTAAGAAAATCAAATAAAATGCAATTCGGTAAGACTTACAAATCAACAAAAAATTTCCACACATTTCCTCTAGCAATCATAGCATGAGACTGAATTTCAGTAAGATGACTATAAGTTGAATGTATTATAGAGAGATTAAACTATTTAAGTAAACAAAAAGATGCAAAGGCATGTTCGAAACTATGGAAAAAAGAATTCAAACACAATTTTGAATAGTATAATTTGTCATCCATTACCTATAATCTTCTTAACATGATTTGCAATAGAATATCCTTTGTTCAGAACCTTGGGTCCTGCAACAAGAGTCTGAAATCTTAAAAATATAGTTTCCACAGATTTATCATTTTCCATTCTGAAGGCTTCATATTTTTGGATTAGAGTCTTTATCTCCTTAACTTGAGCATTTCCTTCATGAGTCATCTGAATATAATCAAAAATAGACTTTGCATTCTCTCTATCTATGATCTTCTCATACTCATTTTAAGAAATAGCACTTAGATGAATTATTCTCGCTTTATAGTGATTTATATTAACCTTCTTCTTAGCATCTATCATTGCACTTCTTGCAATCTTTAGACCTTTATCATTTATTGGGTGAGTGTAGCCATCAACTACCAAATCCCATAGATCCAAGTCATATGCCAGAAAGTAACTTTCAATTTTGTCCTTCTAATAGTCAAACTTTTCTCCATCAAACATATGAGGCTTTGCACTATAATGGTCTATATCATTATCCTTATTATCACTTCTCAGAACAGGAGCTCTGATGCCAACTAAAGGTGTGAAAAACACAAGAAAGGGAGGGGGGTTTGAATTGGGTTTTAAATCAAAAACTTTTCTTTAAAAATCCCTTTCAACATAAACAAGTTTTCTTCACTTACTGATAATAATGATAAGAAGCAAGAATAAAAGAACAAGTTACATTTATACTAGTTTACTTGAAAACTATCAAGCTAGTCTAGTCCATTCGCCAATGTGATTTCACCTCTCTCAACAAGGTCTTAATCTAATAATCAAATAGATTATTACAATGCACAAGCTAAATTCAAGTGACTATGTTACAACCTTTAAGACACACTAACTTAGACTTCTCAAGGATTCTGACTAACTGGTCCCTTAAGAAAAAT